CCAGTAGCAAACATTTTTTTACACTTGTGATCCTTGACTGAGAAATAATTATTTTCACTCTCTGTTTTCCATTTGGACATTCATGTGCAGGGTCAGCTGCAGAAGGGCACGTGTGGAACAGGTAGGAATTCACCGCTCAAAGACATTTCAGCTGCTTCGGTCCACAGAACTGTCCACGTAGAAAAACTAACTTGTGATTCAAGAATTTTAGTGTATTTAAAATTTGATGCCTTACAAAAAGAACAGCATCTATGACATAAATTGGGAATTTCTGATGCCCTGCGCTACAGCACAACACAGCCTGCATTACAGCAGACTACAGTCCTTGATCGAAATGCACTCTACCGTTGTCCAGAGGAAAACAAGCAACCACCAACATTCAATCAGGCAACGAAGCCACAGTAACTGCTGACAGCTTGTAAAAGCTACGAAAATTGCAGCCTGAGTGCACTTGACAAAGCCTACTACTGGACTGACCTCCACACCCGAACAGCTACCTGCACAAAGTTGTAAATATAAAGGAGGCACATATGCACAAAACACGTGTGTGCATCACACACACACACACACACACACACACACAAAAAAAAAAACAGAGAAAATCGCACTGGGCAATGAATGTCAAATCTTATACACTATCCAGGCTGTTTGGATTGCCAACAAGTTACTTAAGGGCCCTGCACAGTTAAACATGACATGTCTTGGTTCACACACACTCACACACACACTCGCAGTGGTTTTCCTGCTTGTAAGGAGCATGTGTAAGATCAGAGGAATGCAGGCTCTCCCTTGGCTCTTACCTAAGGCAACTGGAACCCTGTAAAAACACAACAAAAACAACCCCACAGTTTCCACTCACACATAAACTTTAATGCCCCATCTAATGTTCCTCCACCCTGCGCCCGCATCTTTGGTGCACACGCACACGTGTGTATGTGTACATCCAAATTCGACTGACTGTGACTTTTCATTCATAGAAGCCCTAATTAAAGATCCGAGAGTTTCCTCACGCCACCACCCAGCACGTGTTTCACTGTATAACAAGACATTTCTCCTTCTTGATGTTAACATCTCACATCCTTTTATCTCATGTGGGGCTGAAACATGCCTGCATAACAACACGCTGCGTAAAAGTGGTGTTAAACAGTTTTAAAAACTCATTGCTAATCATATACTGTCACTATGGTCATTGTTATAATTGCTGTCACACTAATAATACTTCTGTTTGTATATTATTTGAATCTAAAACAGCCCTGATTTGAGAAAAGTAAGGTTTGGCTGCTGTGGACCAAAAACATGGACAAGTTGAACTGTGGCTCTCACCACCAGTGGGAACATGCACTTAAGCACACATACATCAAACACAAACGGACACCCGCAAGCATTTACAGTAAGTGTACACATATCATCCCTGTGTGTAGCCTCCATACACACACACACTCACACTCACACACACACACACACACACACACACACACTCACACTCACACTCACACTCCCCCCGCTGCGGGGGCAGACAGCCATTGCATCATGTTCTAGAAATGGCTCCTGCTTTGACACACAGCTCTTGACTAAACTGGAGCCTGTCACGTGACGCAGAGCACAGCGTCATACCTGCTCCCCTGGCCTATCCGCAGCAAAGGAGACATGAACGCACATGTACAACAAGTTGTTTGATGTACTGTGCACCCACTTGTGTTTATCAGCTGACATTCTTTTTGTTAATGGTCGGGGAGTTTGTCTTTGAAATCGAGTCTACGGCTCATAGTTATCAAACTTATAAGATTAACACTTACTCAACACAGGAGTAGAAAAAGTTCTTGAAGTAATTTAGTACCAGACAGTGACGATGCATGGGAAGTGGAAAAAGAAAAGAGAAAAAGTGGTGTAACATCCTGTCAAATGTTCAAATAAAATGCAAATAACAGGCTAAAATTACCACCACTTCTGAATTATACATACTCCTTCAGTTAATGTTATCATTCATTCTGACCAGCCACTTCAAAACACGTCCCAGACAGATGTGTGTTCACCTCTGTCCTGTACTGCAATCATTTAAGATATACTTTTAAACAATTTAGAGGACATTTGGCGCTCTCTTAAATTTGAAAGTATTTCTCAGTCAGCTTTTATAATCTTACACTTAATTCCAAAACTTTTTCTTTGATAAATACAGACTCAGGTTCTGCACAAGTATCAATGACAAACGTGTTTCTTTTCATTTGCCTAACATTTGAATTTTGCGCTCTTAACTGACCAAGTCCTGACCCCTTAGTTACTGTGACTAGACAGTAGGGCTGCCACAATTAATCGGTTTGAGTCATTTTTCATAGAAAAGTACTATAAAAGTACCCCAAAATACTCTTAGTGCAGCTTCTTACATTCAGATATTGGCAGCTTTACACACTCTCCCGTGACAGTGAACTAAAACCCTTTGGCGTGAGTATGAAACAAGACATTAGATGACGTAATTTTGGGGTTTGGGCGAGACAGACCGACATTTTTCAAAATTTTAACACATTTTTCGATGAAATGATTAGTCAACTAATCGAAGAAATAATCGACAGATTAGTCGACAATGAAAATAATCGTTAGTGGCAGCCCTACTGGACAGTAGACAGTTTCTGGGAGTCAGGCGATAAAGCCTCAAAAAGTCGACAGCAAGGACTAAAGTATGGCATGGAAGGATATATTCACAATGTTAACCTTAATGACCAAGGTAAAACAACGCAAATTGTGGCTTCCCATCAACGAAGAAAAGTGAAGTAAAGAAAGAGGATGAAAAGATGTGTCCCATCCCTTTCCACTGTAAAGAGAGACTAATGTCTCTTTACTGTGGAAAGCTGCATTAGCTATTTTGGGGCAGTACGTAGCCCTACGGAGATAACATAAAGGGACATTAGCCTTGATCTTCTCTAGCTAACGATAATTCATGTCATTTTAAAAATAGGTTAGCATCCAACCTGTCTGTCCTTTCCCAAATCTCTTTCATGTTACCACAGAAATAATGAGAAAGCAAACCTGCCTGACGATGTTGATCAGCCATTAGGCTAATTCCTCTCGATGTAGCTATATGTTAGCTAGCTAATTAGCTAGTATTTTGCTAGCCATAGCTAACTCACAATGCAACTGTATACAATGTAATGTGTCCGTAAAGATTTTAAAAATGTCTCCCAACCATATTTTTTAACTGTCTCAAAAATGTGGGTTTCTTTTCAACTGACAACTGTAGCACATAGCATATCTAATATAACAGGAAAGCAGAAAACTTTAGGTGACTTGCGTAACCCTGGTTCTAACAGTAGCATGAGTGAGATGTCTCACTATGGGTTACACAGGGAGGCATAACCCATAGTGAGACATCGAAACAAATGCTATGAATGAGAACTGACTGAGGTTCTGCCGTGTTTCAGGTTGCTCAACTGTTATTGGAACAGAGTGAAACAGAGTGGGATTTATGTAGGGCTAATTTTATTATGAGAAACTTTTTTAAGAAAGTTTTCCAACACCTGGAGTGCTGGACAACGCAATGTGATGTGTTATTGCTCTTTATCTGTAATGCTACAAATTGATTTACCACACCATTAAAACAACTTGAATCCTGTACACCTTGTCGAAGTCAAAACTCTAGGGCAATGTGCGTGTTTGCGTGTGTGTGTGTGTAGAGAGACAGAGGCTGAGACACAAAGAGAGCTATTTCCTGTATTATTTTCCCGACAGTGAGACCTGGCAGAAAATCGAGGAGCCAACATTATATGCGGGCTGCAACAGTCAATGTTAAAGTATAAACATGGCCGAGGTCGTTATGCTTTGAACGCTAGCCTTTCTGTCAGACACAGAGACAGAGGAGAAAAAACAACACAAGCTATAATCGCCTTAAAAAAATAATAAGCATTCTCTCTGTGTGTCTTACAATAGAAGCCATTCTCTGTGTTTATGGTAGGAGAGGAAAGACTGACTGACTGACTGGCCGACATACTGGCAGCTGGCTGCAGCACCAAGCAAACCCACAGTTCATTTCTACCAAAAGGAGAGAAAATCTGTACAATTTTTAACAAATGACTGTACTATACTGTTTATTCATGTCCATTGACTCTCGTTTTTAACCTTCTTCTGTTCATTGCATTTCTCTTCCTATAATGCCTACCTTTGAGCTTGCAGTTCCCTGACTCAACAATGCAGTTGAGTCATTTCACACATCAAGCAGATCCCGAGCCTGTAATTACAGATCACTTGCCCACAATGCTCCAGTCAATGAATGCTAATCAGAGGGAGTCCACGACCCCTGGCTTCTGATATTAGGAGCAACCCTACGCATCATGAAAATCATTACATAAACCATTTGGAATGAAAACGTCAGTCGTCTCAATTGATTTCTGGGAGGAAAAAAAAATCTCCAGTGCATTTTCTCATTATGTGTCTCAATGGACCACTTTACAATGAACAGCATGATGGATTCTGGAAAGGTGCTATACTATCATGTCTGTACACAACAGCCAGTCAATATGGAGATTTTTCCACTGCTCCATAAGCCAACGTTTAGTCTTTGTTTCCTATTTATCAAAATATCAGGCTGGTTTAAACACCTGACACCGATCAACCCCTCAAGAAAACTTGACACAGCTGCTGAGGTTGTAAACAGGAAGTGTAATGATGCCATAGAGTCAGTTATTAGCTTTGGGCTACAACTTGAGTCCTTGGTTTTACTCTGTATTATTATACACTTTGACAAATAAGAACCATGCCAATTTAGCTATTAGCAGTTCCTGTTTGCAATGTACCCAAGGATGTAGGATTCTCAGGCAAGTTCTGGGTTTATAAGGAGCGTCTTTTTCTATGACTATCAAGCAGAGTTATGGACGGTTATTTGCAATGAAAGTGAGCGATAATGATCCTCGCTTGTAAGTCAAACTGAATCAAGAAATATGGGAGTGTATGAGGGGAAAAAACAGAATAAGCTCTCCACTGTTTAAAGCACATTAAGACACATATACACTTACTTCTCTGGCAGTGGTTCTGTGACCAGCATCGTCCCCTGAAGTGTCCGTTGATGGTGTTCTGTGGGCAGATGGTCTGACCTTGAGCCGTGCCGGGACACACGTCCCCACACTCTCTGTCATTCTTATTGGCCACGATGAAGTTGTCCTCCACCGAGTCCAGGATCTTGGACCAGTCCAGAGTGGCCAGGTAGCACAGGTCCGGATTCTTCTCGATCCTCACGGCGCCCCGGGTGATATTCATGAGGCTGTGCAGACCCACCTCCTTCAGCTGCAGCATCTCGTAAATCACAAGAGCGTAGTTGAAGAAGAGGTTGTTTCCGCGGATCACCGTCAGGTTGGGGAAGAGATCGCCGAGGGCCTCAAGGCCGTAGACCCTGAACAGCAGCACATAGTCAGTCACAACTCGCAGCTTTGGGTAGCTGAGACCTCGGAAGTCCTCAGCCTTGGTCTTAAACATGAGCAGAATCTTCAGGTGGCCCTCGATGATGGTGCAGTTCTCCAGCGACTGGAGGTTGGTCACATTGTTCCGGATGTCCTTACTCTGGCAGACTAGAAGGATAAAGAGGGAGGGAGATGTCAGAAACAATAATAAGCCAGTCATACAACACAAGTGTTTTGAAATAGTTTCGTTAATGTTTACAATAGGTTTTTTTTTAAGCTTTGCCCTGCCTCTCATTTATTCATCTAAAATAAATTTACACCAGGGAGCTGCCCATTAAAAACACAGCTCTGCTAGAACAATTTACATCAGACAACAGTTCCAGAGCACATCAGCAAATGTGTATTTACACTCAGTTGTCAGGTTATTAGGAAGACTTTGCTACAGCCCTGGAATAAATCCCACCATCATGAAAGTTATAAGGTTCCTCTTTGCTTAAACTGTTTCAGAATAATCAGAAAAATAAGTTCCTGACTGGGAAAATTCATGTGATCATGCCCTCAAGATGGTACAACAACTCGGAAAGTCGTCGGAAACTTTGCTACACAAGTTGCAGTTAACGTCATATATGCAAATGTTCAGTTGATGGTAATTAACTGTATTTTTTATTCACGTTTTGCATGTCAATTTGTTGCACACATGTAATTTGTAATATTGTTTGAGGTTGTAAGTGTTACCATGTGGAGTGGGAAGTTATTTGAGTAGTTGTTGAGGATGTACTGGTGCAGCAACAAGTCTGAAACAAAATCACTTTTTCATATAGAGCTTCAATCTGTTATTAAGGCGTTGTTGCAGCGCTCTGAATGACCAGATACAACACATTTTCTCTGTAGCGTTCATGTTGTTTCCACATTACATCTTAAAGCTCACGAACACAGCAAAGTCAGAGGAACGACTTCCTGACTCAGGAAATTGGACCATCCAAAGAGCATGAGAATGCAGCATAAATTCAATGTTTTATTTTGTTTTCCATTAATAAATAAATTGTTTAACTATTAAAAGGAAATCATGAAACTATCACTATTTTCCATTAAATTGCAAGTTCATCACGTAAGATTAAGTTAAGCATCAAATCCACAGCACTGAGAAGATGGTTTTAGGGTATGTTTGGTAGTAGAAAAATGACTTAAAGATTACCCGACCAAAACAGTAGAAATAGGTCAATATTTTTCTACTGATCGACTAATTAACTGATTCATTGTTTCACATCGCAGTATGAATGGAAAGACATGTCATTCCTTAATGGTGGCTTACAGTAACAGACCAAACAGGCACAAGAGTCCTCATCGATTCGTAACGGTATCAAAACAAGCGGATATGAACATCAATAGATCCGTCTTTTTCCCATTTAAGCCATGAAACCACCAGTGATCTGCATTAAGTAGAGCAGAGCCATTCATGAAACAGCCTCGCTAAAGTCCCCTCTACAATCTGACTGGCTGCAAGCGCTCTCTCCCTCCCTCTCTCTCTCTTACACACACACACAGCCTCTCTTCTCATTGGCTCCAGCATATTCCTCCAGAGAGGAAATTACTGTATGGCACTGTCTGATCTGAATGAAGCAGACATGAAGGGGTTAACATAAATGAAGCCTGGAAGCAAAATGCTTATCCATGCTCATTCATACTCTTTAGCTGCTGCACACTGGCACATACACACAAGCCCACATTTGGACCAGCAAATGCATGCACACACACATCAGAGGAGTGGAGAATTCATTAGGGGACAGTTACTTAAGGAGATGTACAGACAGAGGAGGCATGCTGCTGTTGCTCACTACAAATAATAAGATACACATTTCCAGTGTATTAAAGTGAGTTAAAGTGAGAAGGAGGGAAGAATGCCTCGTAGTTTAAATAATATAAGATGTGTCTTACAAAATACAATACAAAATATTTCTATTGGTGCCATTATATCAATAATTTTCATTTCAACTTTTACAAACACAGGTTCAAGTTCCAAAAAGAAAGAGAGCAACAATACTGCTCACACACCTTGCCAAAGCCGTGCAACCATTTTCCTTGAAACCTCACCTTTCTATGAACTGCCCTTCATAAAAACATCAAGAATGGTCATACAGGTCCGGTGGGATGTTTCTCAACCATATCACCCCAAAAAATATAAACAAGCTTGTCCATCAACACGTAGACAAAGCACATGTCAGCTCATGTGAACAGACTTGCTGTCTAAAGTGGGAGAGATATGATTTACTGCCTGATGCGGTGACGCCACGGTTGATATTAGAACTCGGTGTTAAATGAAAGGTATATTTGCATAAATGCACAGACAAATTACGCAATGTTGACACACCCATTTACTCTAGGCAAGCACACTCATTAGCCACACTAGGTAGTGGTGAGACATACAATACTAATTTGTTCACGTGGCTTAACCATGCATGTGCTGAATCAACCACAGAGGCAGCCATAACGGCCCAAAACAGATGGTTATTGATGATAACCAACATGTGAGAAGACTGGATTCAAATGCAAGTTGTTAATGAAACGTTACAAACTTGTTTCCACTACAAGAAACAAACATTAGGCTACTGCTCTGAGTCGTTTACTGGATTACGGTTCTAACACAGAGGATGAGGAAAGAAGGCTGAATGAAATGCAAATAAAAGCAGCACTAACTGTTCAAAAAAAGCAGGAAACTAATCAGATTTAGCCTTTAACCCGTTTTGTTAATCAAATGTGAATATCTGTCATCAATACAAGTTCAATTTGTACAAACAAAATTATTGAAAAGGGTCCTGCGCTTGTGCATGTAGGGTAAAATGAGCCTCTTATCACAGAAGCGATCTGTCTCCATGTAGTCTGCTGCTTTCAAATCGATGATAGAGACACACACCTGCTAATCACACTCTGCAAGTGTCTTTCATGCATCTTAATGGTGTGAACCCCATCTGCTCGCCACCTTTTGATACTCCTCCCATTTATTACGCTCAACCCCCTCTGCCACTTTGCATACACAAAAAAATAATTAACTGCACCACAACATGCATCTTAAGAAGAAAGAAAGTCAGAATTCATTGCAATGGACGACTTGGTTTTATTGAATTGTTATTGACTGTCGTCATTTCCCAGGTGTAAGCTACCTATTAACTTCCCATTCTGTTAATGGTTAGCAAGACAAACGTCAACAATCCAGGTACAAACTCTGACCAGCAGCACATCAATGGAATGGTTTAAGTGACTTCTTGTAATGGACAGCAGCCAATAAAGCCTGTAATCACTACACTGCCAAATAAAACAGTGTTGTTTACTACAACGGCACGTAATAGAGGTGAGTAACTCAGGTGTGGAAATATGTCAGAGTGGAAAAAGTTTGCAAAGTGCCAACCTTATATAAAAATGTCTGGATCAGGAAGAGAAAAATCTAATTAACATTTTAATATCCATGCAACGCATCAGTGTTTCACATTATTTCAAGCAAGATATGTAAATTATCTCTGTGAATGTGTCTGATACCATCGAATAAATCAGAATAAAATAAAATGAGCTTCACAATTCACTCGTCTATTATCCAATAACATTTTTAACTGAAGAGAAACATACACACGATACCAAGACTGAATGTCCAAATCTTATTTGCCTCTGTAGGACACCTAACAAAAGAGTAATGAAACATAGGCAGGTATGTTGATAACAGTTATCGTATTTGACATGGTGACAAAACCTTTCAGATAAAAGGAATTGTGCAGGTGAGATATTAAACAGTGGCTATCAACTTTATTCCTCTGTACACAAGTGCAGCCATGCTGTTATTCATTCAGCTTTACACTGGTCAACCAGTAGCTAACAGGACATCCAAATGTCTTCATACTGGTCACGGTGACCCACCAGCAACTTGAGGACAAATACAGAGTAAGGATGCATGATAATATCAGCACGTCATCAGTACTGGTCGATATTGGCTTTAAAGTGAACTATTGGAATCAACCACCATGCACAATATGATGTTAATTCCACTGCAGAAGAGGCCTGATGATCACTTACATTAGATGGGGAAAAAAGAGGATATATCGATATCGGTATTGGTTATCAGCTTATCAGTTGTTACATATTGGCATATCGGATATCAGCAAAAAATATCATGCATCCCTAAATTAAAGTGTATAAAGATACTTACAAATAGGACTGAATTAGTGCAAATACATCATCATAAGTGATGCAAGACTTGAGACAGATACCCCTGATGGACTGAAACGTTTAGGGGCCGTACACATGCCGCGTTTTTTGTGACTTCAAATTCATTGGTTTCAATGTAGACGTGCTCAAACACCGGAGCAATGCAGTCATGGCGCACACACATTCCCAAGCACCCATTTACAGGGCGCTACTGCTGTGCTTTGAGATAGACCGAGTTCAACTTTTGGAACGCAGCAGCATGCACAGCATGTCATGTGACGAGGAACAACCAATCACAGCCGACAGATATCTTTCCTTTCTTCCATAAATATCAGTCAGTGATAAATACGGAAAAGTTGATCATTTTGGTGCAGAGCTACCATAGCTTTACACCTGTCGTATGGATGACAGGCCTACACACTTAAAAAGAAGATCAACTCTGCACTCAAGATTTCAGGTAAATGGGCTATGGTACCATGCTTGCTGAGGTTGCTTTCCTCAGTCGCAACCTTCCGCAGCACTCTTGAAAGCTGGCACAAAAGAAGTGCCCTGCACCTGACCTCACTTTTTTCGAGGCGGTTAAAGACACGGCATGTGTACGGCCCCTTATATCCCCATTTCTGAAACAATGTAGCAGAGCTTCGACCGATGACGCCACCAGTTTACTGGAATTTTAAACCAGCCTTTGTCTTGCAAACGTACTACGTCAATACCTTTCTAATCAACATAGTTCTGTAAAGTGTAGAGCTGCAACAACTAGCCTACTTGATTAGTTGCCAATTACTGAATTAATAGGCAACTAATTTGATGAATTGATGAATCAGCTTAAGTAGATTTTTAAAGAAAAAAAAATTAAAATACTTGTTTTTTAGCTTCTTAAATGTGATTTTTTTCTGGTTTCTTCACTTCTCTATGACAGTGAACTGAACATCTTTAGATTGTGGACAAAACAAGACACTTAAGAAGGTCATCTTGAG